AAAGGACTCTTACCTCCTGTTGTCCTTTTTATTTATATATTTTCTTCTCAGCTGAGCCGCTGTGTTTTTGCAATGTTGCAGGAGTGCAGGAGAAGATGGGGATCATGAACAAAGGAGTGATTTATGGGCTGTGGGATTATGAGGCTCAGAACGACGATGAGCTGTCCATGAAGGAAGGAGACTGCATGACAATCCTGCGCCGCGAGGATGAGGAGGAGATCGAGTGGTGGTGGGCACGGCTCAATGACAAGGAAGGCTACGTGCCCAGAAACCTGCTAGGGGTGAGTCCTGGCTGCTTCCAGAGCCAAAAAACCCCACCCCAGCATGTGGAGTGTACACAGTATTGCGTTCTCCTTGGATCTCTTGCAAGGAGGTGCAGCTTTAAGAGTTGAGAGGAAGGAGGTGACATTCTCCATCTTTATTTAGGGAGTTGAATGCCTTGGCAGAGTGGGTTAACACCCTCTGTTTAAGGTACTTACCACAGATTAATGGGTGCCCAGAAGAACAATATGTATCACCACCTTCCTATACACAGCAGGCCCTAATACCAACTTTGTCTCACCATCTTAAAAAACCCCTTTAAAAAAAAAAGCCTTTTATCCAAACATGTGTGTGAATTAGGTTTTCTTGAGCATGTTCTCAGGCACATGGGGTGATTTTAGGGCTGTTCTGTGTAGGGCCAGGAGCTGAACTCAGTGATTCCTTGGAGGGTCCCTTCCAGGATCTTCTATGACTTTTTGATAATTTTCTCTGTTTCAAAAAAGTGATGAACTGGCACAAAGGGCCTTCAGAACTGAAACTTGCATGAAGAGTGAGTCATGAGTCCTTCCCTGTGTACACGGGCACCTTTTGATCCAAGGATATAAACACTGCAAAAATCTAGGTTACCTTTTTGTTCTAGCGTTGGAAAACAGACTACATTGCTCAGTAAAGGCAGATCTTTGTTCTCTCCTATGCTTTTAAAGTAACATTTAACTATGTCTAAGGCCTTACATGAATGGCCTCTCCTTCTCTCATCACCTTTTGTATTGCCTTTTATTAAAAACAACAGTGTACAAATAAGATACTTTCAATTATGTCCCTGTATTTCTCCTTGTAGCTGAGTTGCTAGAAAATGATGGCAGATGGACACATATATAAAAATTCCATTAAGCTTTTTTCTACAATTCTAGTTGCCCTGGTGCTGGAGATAAGAGATTCTCCAAGATTAACCATTGTGAATTTTCTCTGATTGATGTATGATGCTTGAAAGAGGCTGAGCCTCCTTCCTCATGCAGATAATCCTTACTCTTAAACTGGTTGGATTTTGCAGAGCAACTCTATCTAATGCAAAATCAGTTTTCATATCTGTATCGTTTCCAGGTCAGGCTTACACACCATGTACTGTAAAATTCTGCCTAACATACTACTCCTGCTCAGTTTTTTCCTCTCCAAAGTAAACATTTTTAAATTGAGAGCAGCCATCAGCCCTGCACAGTAAGGTTAAAATGGCAGCTTTTTGATTTTTGCCTGCCCTGGTGTGCATGTAGTGCTTGTCCATAACCTTGTGCTTTGAGCCTGAGCACAGGTGTGTAAGAACACAAGGAACATCTGTGCTTCTAGGAAAAAAAAAATAAAAAAAAGCACAAGGCAGCACAGCTTAAACTGGAGATCAAAACTTACCTTTGTAAGCACAACACAATCCCAACAGAATCTTTGGGGAAAACTGCACAGTATTCATTAACTGTGACACTCCTGTGTCTGTTCAGTTGTTCTGAAATATCCTGTGGTGATTCTCCAAAGCAATTACTGGCCTTTTAATATAGCAGCTGAATTCTGATCTGTGATGTTCACCAAAGAGGAAAACATCTGGTAGATTAATTCTTATTTTTATCATAGTTGCTTTTATCCTTTTGCAGCCAGGTGTACTGAATAAAAACAAGGATTAAATTATCTCTATCAGTGCTCTACCCTTCTTAGTGACTCCCTGGCTCCCTATGCTAATAAGATAATACTGTCAGGTGCTATGATACTGTAACTGACTGACTTCATCTCGAAGAGTGGTGAAGTCACAGCAGGCTGAGACAGACCTTGTGGTGAAGTCATTGGCCTTGTCTTAGTGCCTGAGAGAAGAAGAAAGCCAGAGTCTGGTTAAAGAGAGAGGGGGCAGCATTGAGGAGAGCTTTAAGCTGTGATGTAGACATGCATTGCCAGTTAGAGCACGGAGCATGCATCTCTCCTAACTGGATGAAGTGTATCCTCCTATTTTCACATGCCAGGGGCCGTGCTTTGCAGAACAGCAGCTGTTCCCTAAGCCCTTCCAAGTGGGAGCCAACAGCTTCCCAGGCATCTTGTCTATTGTATTTGCAGGGAATGTCCCAGTTAGGGCAGGAATGATTCATCTGACCCCATGTTCTCAGAAGGCTAATTTATTACTTTATTATACTATATTATATTAAAGAATACTATACTAAAGAATACAGAAAGGATACTTACTGAATGCTAAAAAGAAAATGCTAATGAAAACTTGTGACTCTTTCCAGAGTCTCGACACATCTTGGCCCTGGTTGGCCAAAGAGTCAAAACAATTCACATGAAACCAATAAAACAACCACCTGTGGGTAAACAATCTCCAAACACATTCCAGATGAGCAAAACAGAGGAGAAACAAATAAGAATTGTTTCCCTTTTCTCTGAGGCTTCTCAGCTTCCCAGGAGAAAAATCCTGGGTGAAGGGATTTTTTCTGAGAATGTGAATGCCACACTTGTCCCTGCTGTGCTTGTCCACACAGCTTGTGCTGTGTGCTGTCCCAGGCTGGGGTGAAGGGATTTTTTCTGAGAATGTGAATGCCACACTTGTCCCTGCTGTGTGCTGTCCCAGGCTCTGTCCTGTCAGTTTTCCCTCACACCCCTGTGTGTGTGACCAGCACATGGCCCAGGCGTCACAGGCTGGCAGGGGCCAGTCTCCTGCTGGGCAGGTCATTCATGGAACTAGGCACCCACCCTCCACTCTCTATAAAGCTCCTCCACTTCCATAGTCATTCTGCAGACAGATGTTTCCAGCTTGCCCAAAGCTATGCTGCATAAAAACTGATAGGTGAGAGAAAGCAAACCAGACTTCACCTCTCTGGTCCCATTTATATAACAGGGAACAATCCCACAGTTCACTGAACACAGAAGTCTCTTGACTTACACAGCCACGTGCTTTTCCTGGCCCACCCCTCTGGGTAGAGCTGAAAGTACTTAATTATGTGCTGTTCAATACTTTCCTCTTGTACTGACACAGTATTTTTTAAGGTTGCCTAAGACTGCTAAATTCATATTTGTCAGTGCCCTGGGTGTTTTTTATAACCATGCTTTTGCTACTAGGGGTTACATCAGAATTGTAGCACCAAAGAGAGGGGTTTTTTGTTCCTTTATGTTTTCTTTTAAAAAAAAGTAACCTTTTAAAGTACTAAATTTTTAAACCTCATTTCTGTTTTACCCTCAGCTGTATCCAAGGATTAAACCTAGACAAAGAAGCTTGGCATGAAATAGTACGGAAGCCAGATTCTTGAACTACTAATCATGGATAACTTACAGGAAAAAAAAGTCCATTTTGTGTTGGTTCCAATATCATGAGACTTATTTCAATGACAATGTAATTTGAAAGCTATGAAAAATGTGCTTTGAAAACAAATGAAGGATTGATGCATTAGCAAATGGATGAGGGCATTGTACAAGACGAAATAATGCTTACAAGCAAATGAAATTCTGCTGCCTTTGGTCGAATCAAGCCATTATGTTCAAGTACCCACCCAGCTGTCTTCAAACATGGCAGAAGAGAGTTTCATTTCTTTTCTGCATTAAATACAAGGACCTTTTGAAATTGCCATTGAAGGAATCATCATGAAACAGACAACTTGGCTCTGTCCAAATTTATCCCGAGGCTTTTTCCAGATGGGAGAAATTGAAGTATGTGCACAGCACCCAACTGCTTATTGCTGGAAGTGGAATGTTTGTTAAAAGAAGCTAAAAAAACTGAAGTGTATCTGAAGAGTGACAACCCCATGACCAATCCATTAAGCAATAACTTTTAAAAAAGCTGTAGCATCTTAGAAATTCTATGTATTCAAAATATCATGTGCTGTAACAGAAATGTAGTTTTAGATTCCTCTTTTTACAAAGAGCCTCATGTATTTATTGTATTTTATACTTTGAAGACTAAGTGTAGAAACTTTATGTAGTTCTTGACAATGTATTTGTTTTTACTCTACTTGTTTACTCCACCATTAAACTTTTGTCTCCTCTTACGCTTTAACTCTGGGTATTTTAATAGTGATTTTTATTACAGATGTTACTAGTAAGACACACTGCTGTTGTACATGATACTAACTTTCAGCTGCTTTCTGTATTAACCTGAACCCCTCCTCCCCCATCCATTCTAGGTAGTTTTTCTGTATCCTTCTAAGCTAAGGGACATACTTAGGGGGAAAACCCAACTTGATACAAGTATTTTCCAAATAAAACCTGTCCTATAGAGCTATCCTTTCTATCTCTCGATTTGGCAATAATTTGATACTGAACAGTATTTAACAGAGGAGCAAGTGATTCCTTAAGGGTATTTAGAAAGTGCCTCACCCTACAGGCTCCTGTTTTCCTACTAGGTAAGTCCTACTGCTTTCTGAAAAGGTGCCCAAAAGGAAGAAATAGTTTCTAACCAAGAAATTTCCCCACAGTTCTTCAGGTGGGGACACTAAAGGCAGCAGCAATTGGCTCATGGTCATAGTCTCTGATTTCAGCAGTCTTGAGTGTGGGGTATGGAGTATCAGTTATCTATCTCAGAAACCTTTGGCTGTTCAAGCATTAATCTTTAAAAGTATCAGCTTATCTAACATTTCATTAACTGCCACACACCCACAATCAGCTTCAGCATGCTGGTTTTCCCCTTTGAAGGGCAGCAACTTCTGTTCCTGAAAGCAAAAGGCTCTGCATGTGCACTGTGATGATCTGTCTCGAAGAAAAAAACCAAAAAGTGCTTATTTTCAGTAGAAATAAGTGTGACAAACTTTATTTCTATTTTTTTTTTAAATTTAAATACTTTCTTGTATTGCAAAGGAAGATAAATAAGATACAGGAACTCAAGATTCCACCTGAAGACATGGGCTTTCTCTTGGAAAGATCTTGTTGCCAACAGCCTCCTGCTCCAGGCACATCAATGCTCACTTTGGTCAAAGACGTACTTGCTACTCAAATTCTTTAAAGAATATTTAACTTAGGATAGTGCTGGGGCTTGGAACCCCTATCTCTGAGTACAGGTGTTTAGATATGCATTACTATCTCTTTACTAATTTTAGATATGCAGGATGTTGTTCAAAAAGCACTTTTTAAAACCAGATTGTCAAGCTATAATGAGCTTTTCTTCCTGAAGTCCTGTAAAATGCCTTAAATACAAAGATATTAGCAAAGCAGTGTTTTCAAAACTTGCACTGAGGATTGATACTAAATTAAAGCCTTTGTCCAGAGGCTGTATGATATTAGGCACAGATTGTCAGACCCATAAAAATGAGGTTGCAGGTTCTTCTGTGGAAGTAGAATGCTTTTCTTCTTGCAATTGCATGCAAAATCTGCTAGCTTTGTGTAAGTTAAGGCACATTCATGTTTGGATATTCCTTGTATGTAGCTTGATTATCTTCACCTGACCATGCTCTTGTTGAGTCTCAGGCTGATGCCAGTGGCTCAAATGACAGTGAAGCACAGCCACTGTAACAAGAGAGAGGAGAAAACAAAGTTAAATTTAGCAAAAAGACCTGTAGCAAGCATGCACAGTTGCATTTCTAGCATATAGTCAGCCTGTTGTTACAGAAGTAATTTTAGGATCTTTCCTGAGTGATTTAAATTTATATTTCACTTAAATCAGAGTTTTGGGATTCTTAGGTTCAGAAATAAGCTATGTTCAGGTAATAAGCAAGTCAGACACATGTAGGAGGGTACTTTTCTCCAAACTTAGTCCTTTCTACAGGGCACACATGAAAGGCAGAAAGAAGCAGACATGAGCAAGGCCGTCAGTCTTGCCTACACAACTGCACCTACATTTTGGTCTGTTGACATAAAAAGCAGGGAAGAAGCCAAAATTAAAGGGATAAAGGGCTTCTGGTGCAAGTAACTGTGTCTGTTACAGAATATGTTGTGATGTTGGTACATTTTTAAAAGGTAACCTCTCTAAGGCTGTTTATGAATCCACAAGGTAGATAAATCCAGCACAGATGTGAGTACTTATAACCAGCCATCCTCAGGCAGAATTCCCCTCCCCCAAGTTTTCCCCAAAAATGAAAACATTTGTTTTAGAGCTAAATGAACTTACATTAACAAGGTTCAATTCTATTGTCCCACTTTTCTCAGTATCCAGTTTTCTAAACATTTCTGTGGTTGGAGAGAGATGACAGACAAGGGTAAATACAGGAACTAATGTGACAGTCTTCTCTTTCCTTGTGCTTCAGGATCAATAAGGAATTTAGTCCCAGAATCTAAAGCTTGACAATGGCCTACACCCCAAATCAGAAAGGGCTACTCCAAAGTCATTGTGCAGGAGCAAGACTGAACATTTTTAATTGCTGTCTAGCATTTTTTAATCAACATAAGAGTTGTTTGCAGGGAAGACCAGCTGTGGTTCAACAGCCTGGCCTAAAAGACTGATTCATGGATCTAGGAGAAGCCAGATTAATATCTCAGGTTTGAGCACCTTATCCTGGGCTTCTGGACAGTTGTGCCTGGACAGTTTTCCTGCTGGAATCACAAGGCAGCAGAGCTGTCTGATTACTGAGGGTGCACTCACTGAACAAGGTTTCGAGCCGAATCAAACAGCGTACGAAGTTGTCAAAGTCAATGACGAGATCCTCATCAGCAAAGCGAGCCACGATGACCTGATGTAACTGGCAGTTCAGTTTGAACCCTGGAAATACAATGCCAAGGATTTAAAAGACTCTTAAAGACTATTAAAGACTATTTCCAGAGAGTAAACACAGGTACAAAATGAAATGCCCGATCCTGCGTGGTGGCAGGAGAGGAAGGCTCCAGAGTGCCCAAAATTCATTAAGTTAAGATGGGACTGTATGGCTCTGAGCATCTCTCAACCCTGCTTGAAACTGATGGAATCCTATGAAGAGACAGATCAGTACAAATACCTGCTGTTTCCAGTGCCCTCCTCATCTCATACGAGTTCATGGTACCCGATCGATCCACATCAATTTCTCTGTAAATTTTCTGCAAAAAACAAAACCCAAAGGGAAACCTTGACAATAATGCAGAGTGTGGTTTGGCTTCTGGCAGAAGTGAAACATTTTGAAATGCAGCCTTAAAGCACTTTGCAACATTGATCTGAAGGACTTGGTACTTACATCCATTTTTTCTAAAAGTAAGGCTTTAAAAAGTAAGTCTTTTTAATGAAGTAGCCAGAGCAGATAAAGACAAAACCTGGGGGACTACAGACACACAGTCCCTGCTCTGGGAAAGGTGATTGTGCACACTGTATGGCACAAATCAGTCCACAGCACTTCCAGGTGTGATTGTTCCCCCAAAGGGGTTGTGCTTTACCTGGTATTTCTGAATCTTTGTCCAGAGGGTGTGGAACTCCTTCAGTCCCAGTTTGCCACTCCCATCATTCTTCTCAGAGTTAAGGAAGTTTCTTCAGAGGGAAGAAAAAGGGATTTCCTCTCCCTCTGCTGGGTTTACTTGCATGGGCAGTTATGACTTTAAAAAAATTGCAAACAGAAGAAGGATTCAAGTCCTCTCTGAAGGACTCATCCTCTCTCCAGGACTCATCCTGTTGAATACACAATTATTGTCCAAGCTATCTTTCTAAATTATTAAGATCATTAATTTAAATAATGCCCAGCTTACAAGCTCTTTCTGCACGCCTGCTGGAGGTCTCTGTCTTTCCACTACAAGTATAAATGAGCCAGGATGATTCTATTTTGTTCTGCATAGTGGCTTCAACACCTGCAGCTACTGGAGCACAAGTCCTGGGTCTGGATTACAAACAGGAAAAGCCACAGCCAAGCCTGCTATTTGGAGACCTTCAGCTCTTGAGCAAACAGCTAACAAAAGAACCTGCTTGTGGCACTGCTCCCAAAACCTGCCATGGAGTGCCTGTGGACTCTGTATTTTACACCAAATTATAGAAAAGTATCACCTTGTGTTGGTAATTTTCCGTTTTTCCAACTCTGCAATTCAACTCCCACTGCACAGAGAAGGTGAACACAACTATTCTTAGACCTGATCCTTCATCCTACACTTTTGCCTGTATCTTGGGAGTAAAAGCTCCTAAAATCCTGCATACTCTCTGCTTCCTGGATAGCATGTCAAAACAAAACACTGCATTTGTGTCCCTCATTTTCCATTTGCTAAGTTCCTGTGGCTTTGTGATGCTCTTACCAACTCCAGCCAGACAAGAGAGAGGTGAAACAGCCCTGCAGCCAAGGCCATCCTCACCATGCTGAGAGCCTTTTCCCAGCACAAACATCACTTTGTCCCCAGCTAAACCAGAACACCCAACAACTGGGAAGGCTTCCAAGCAGACTTTGCTTGATAATGGATTTTCCCATTGCCTGGGATAACACACGTGTGAACCACAGTAACAAGGGAGTGGCTTTCCCAGGGGAATCAGGGTAAAGCCAGCTTCTCCACCTCAGGAGCTCTAAGTACACCAGGATGGACCCAGCAGGGAGCAGAGGCAGCTGGCCTGCTTCAGCACAGGAAGGGGAATGTCATCTAGGAAGAGCTTTAAAGGATACATCTAACAGGTCAACCATTATTTTGCATGTCTCAATACTAAAGCCATCAGATTTAATATCTTGGCCTGTAAAGAAAGAGCAAAAGACAGGATTATCACTGCATGCTGTTCCACAGCACCTTCCTAAACAGCTCATGAGCTCTCCAACCAGCTTTTATTTGCTTCCAATGGTGCCATCCTTTGAGCTGGGATGTCTCCCCAAGCAAACAGCCTGAGTAGTCTGGTTTGTAGGCATGCTGCTGGAGCAAGAGACAGAGACAAAAGCTTTCCTGCTCTTACTGTCTGCCTGCAAAGTGGACTTCTGTGGGCAACATGCCCTTCCAGCTTATGAAGGTCAGCAGGAGGTGGCTTCATGAAAGGCTGAACACGAAGCTAAGCTTGGTAGCCAGCAAAAGCCCATTGCTGATTACTGGCTGCTGCACAAGACATACACGACCAGCCCTGACCACCTGATAAGATTTCACTTTGGAAATTAAAGAGACACTTATTTCTCCAAGCACTTGTTTCTTGAGCACTGTTTTTAGTGGTAAGGAAAATAATGCAGAGCCAAGCTAGGAATCTCTTCACAGAAGCCCAGAGTTTCAAAGTTTCTCCTCCTCCTTAGGGACACCCCAGACCACTGGCTGGGCTACTGCTTGAATCACTCCTGGGTGCTTCAATACTAAAACAGCAGCAACATCTCTCTTGATTATTATCACGGATTATTCAAATCCATCCATCCTCCTGGCAGCCAATTCCCAGTGGCAGATGCTGGGATAGAAGACACCCATCTGCACCCTGCCAAAGCACACATCTTGTGAAACACCTTCTGGGCTGGCACAGCCCCAGCATTCCTGCAGCCCCCTGGAGCAGCAGAGAGCACGTGGTCGTGGCCATATGGAGAGCCAAGCAGCAGGTCTGGGGCAGAGCCCGGGTCAGCAGTGCCCTCTGTGCCACCACGGCCACGGTGCCAACCTGCTGGTGGCATCTGAAGCTGCTGGTGGAGGAAGGCACTCACGTTTAGCCAGGATTTTATTCAAGATGCTGCGCAGTTCGAAGGCAGAGATCTCTGCATCCTGTGGAAAAGAGGAAAACAAATTTCCCACCCTGAGCTGCAGACACCATCTGCAGCCTCTGATTAATTTGGGCAAACTGGCCAACTTCTAACACCCCTTCGAGTTCAGCTCCCTTGAATGGAAGCAAGTGGGAAGCTGTCCCCACCTTCCATTCCCAGGAGCATCACCAGTTCCCAGAGATCAGCACACCCAGCAGCAAGGTGTGCCCGAGGCAAGAGCTGGGCTGGGGAGAAGCCCAGCTCAGCCATATGCTCTGCCCAAGGACAGAATTCAGGCCCTGCAGAGATAAAAGTCAAGCCCAGAGTTCAAAAGGAGCAGAGATTGTTCACCAGGAATTGCTCAGAAATCCTCTGCGGGAGCAGGTGGGTGACTGCACAGGTTCTGGGATGCACAATTGTGCTCACACTTGAGAGCTGACTCTGCACAAGAACTAAACTCTGTCCTGGGGGAGGCATCTCTCTTCCCATTCACCAGGATGCCAGTAAGATATTACCAGAAAAACACTCACATTTCCTGCTAGCTGCCCAAAAAGCTTTTTAAAGCTGGGTTCGATGTCATCTTCACTGATCTCAGTCTAAAAGATAGAAACAGAGAATGTCAAAAAGGTATGGGAAATGTTTGGGAAAGTTTCTGCCTGAGAAAGACTTAATGCATTTCCTTGCCCTTTGTAAAAAACTCAGCTGGCAAGGTTGAAGGTACAAAGTAGTTTTTACTATGATTTTATTCAGTTTTATTTTCAAGGGTACCTCAAAATACTGGCATTGTAAATGCTGGAAAAAACACCCACTACACATGGGGTAGCTGCATTAGTAGGCAAAGCATCCCCAGCTCCAGCAAGACTAAACATATGGTGAGCCACTAATTACTCCTGGAAACAGCATTACATGCAGAAAGAGCCCTGCTGCTGAAAGCTGCACTCCTGGAGTCCTGGAGAACAAAGGGAATTTCCTGTGCCTCCAGTTAACTCTTGAGAGTGCACCTCTGCCTGGGAAGTCCAGGTTCTAGATAAACACTTGTTTCCATTACATTCCTGATGATATTTCCATTTGCTTGACACCCAGATATGGATATTGAAAGATCTTTTCCTATTTTCCCATAGTGGGACAACATTTCTTGATAATGCCTACAGAAAACATCACCCTGCACAGGGAACAGGCACTCCAAACCCCCCTTACAACAAAATTATCTCAATTGACAACATTTCACTTGATGTACCTCATCAAAATTGCCTTCAATTTCATCATCTATCACCCTAGAAAGAGAAAGAAATCAATATTAAAATCAAAACAAGTCATGTTTATGATGCTTTTCCTTCAAGCTTCAGTTAAAGAGAGGTTCTTTAAAATATGGAAATAACAATGAGCATTCAAAAAATGACTGGATTAATCAGCTATGGACACAGCACAGCACAGAGAAAGCTGTATTTTGTCAGCTGTGGCAACAAGAGTTTGAAAAGACACACTACAAATTGTAGTGCCACAGACAGGATTTTGGGGCTCACATAACTCTTCAGGTCTTTTTTTTTGCCGACTTAGCACAGGACCAGGTTCTTGGGTATAAATCAAACTTTAGTCTAGTCATTTCTTCTTTAAAACAGCAAAAAAGTGAGAGCCCTAAAGTAATTCTGATGTGTCTTATGCTGAGGGAGCACCAGACATACAGATGGTACCCAAAAACTCCCATCAAAAGCTGAATGTGCCCTCACATCACCAACACCCCGGGTTTCTCACTGCTGCAGGAATATGCAGCAAAATATTAAAGGACAGAGGAAGGTTTCTGCTTGCTTTGGATCAGGGCAACTCAATCCAAAAGACCCCACAGCCCTTCCTCAGGCTTTAGCCCAGCTGCTCTTCAAGATGTGACATGCCTGAGCCTTTTAATTTTAATTAAACAGTCATTGGGATAACAAAAGCAACAAAACAATTTTTAATTATTATTATTATTATTATTATTATTATTATTATTATTATTATTATTCCCCATGTGCCCACTGCTGTAATACGGTCACCAAAAGCTACCTACGTGGAGTTTGCATTTTTTTCAGAGAAGACCCTGAGGCAGAAGTCCCCGTTCTTGTCGGGTTCGAAGGTGGAGGGCACGATGATGTATTCTCCTGCAGGGAGCTTGAAGCGGTTCAGCACCTCCCGGAGGTTGATGAAGGTATTGGATTTTTCCCGGGCTTTGTTGGTCAGGAAGAAGTTTTTGCTCAGATGAATATTTGTCTGGCCAGAAAACTTAGGGAAAGCAAAGAAAGGGAAAAAAAAAAAACCCACTGCAGTCTGCATGTGTTTACAAATTTAAAATATCATAGATATGTCAGTCAGCTATGTGTGGGGAAAATAAAAAATATGTCAGTTTGACAGAACTGAAAAAGAAGAGAAAGGGAGTGGGACTCCTGAGATGTGGCTGCAAATGTGTTTTGCAGATCATTGCAATAAATCATTCAGGTCATGCTTTTGTTCTGCAGATGGTGATGGGTGGCTGAAGACATTGGGCACATTCTTCCACCAATCATTTTCCTTTAACCTGAGATGGCACATGAGCCATGTCCCTCTGGTCCCCAGAGCTGGTGCCACCTGCAGCTCAGCTCTGCCTCCCAGGTCACGGCAGAGCCCACTCATGGAGGGCTCCAAGAATAAATAAACCAAAACAATAAAATAAAATCATATCTGGAGCGAAACATCTAGTGAAAGGTGTCCCTGCCTGTGGCAGGGGGTTGGGTGATCTTTAAGATCCCTTCCAACCCAAACCATTCTATGATTCTGTGATCTTCCAGAATTAACTATTTTTGCAGAGTCTCACAGGTGGGCTGCTTCAGCTCTAGAAACCAGCTTCAGGAATGTGCATCTTTCAGAAACCTCCTCCTTCCTGTCCTCCCAGATTTTTAAGAATGAAGAAAGAATTTTAAAAACCTGTCAGACCTGCTGCATAGTGGGAGATTAAAATTCCACCTTCTGGGGGAAAGAAAGAGTCAGAATCAGTTTTCTTATGGAAATTAAATACTTAGACCACTAGGGTGAGTGACAGAGTACTGCTAAGGCATTAAAAAAGTACATAAGAAATTTAATTAACCAGCAGCACCATTTCTTTTCCTGATTAAACCATACTTTACATAAAAGCCACTGGTTTGGGCACACCCTCAGGAGCCACAGGATGCCCTGGCTGCTTCACACAGACCCTGACAGGGACAGCAAACCCAGTAATGGGGTACCCAGGGCTTTTGCTGACTTCAGTCCTTCCTCTGAGGAGCAGCAGCTCAGAGGCTTTGTTCCATTGCCACCCCTCTGTGACCCCCAGGGTGTACTATTAGCTGCCTGCAGGTAGAAGTAGAGAGAAACCAAAAGAGGTGGTGCTTCAGGAAATGAATACAAACACCTCCTTGGAATATTATTCATGAGTCAAATATGAACTCTGTGCAAACCTGGAAAAAGCAGCTGTGCTCTGGGGGAGCAAGTGTGGGGCTGGGCTGAGAGGAGAGCAACAGAAGGGTTGCTTTGGGGAGTTTTTGCAGCACTGAACACTCCTATCCCAATACAGGACACTCTAAAAATGCAACGTGGGCTCAAGGCCCCTTGCAGAATCAATGGCCTCCAACTGTAGACTCTGTGCAGTCACATTGTCCTGCAATGAAGTAGGATCCTCTGAACCTCTTCTTCCCACCAGCCACTGAGCCCCAGCTCTGCACCTGGACCACCAACCCATGGCACGTACCTCTGGGGGCACCTGCAGGGAGAAAAGGAGAGAGTTATTTGTTTGTTGAATGGCAAATGTCATCTCCATCTTCTTTTCACCATCACTAGCAAGGACATCCACATTCTTCAGGGGAAAAAAAAAAGGCAAAACAAAACAAAAGAAAAAAAGACTTGGCTTGAGAGGAAGGTAGGTGTTGAGCCTGCATCACCCAAGGCCAAGTGCTGGCTCAGCTCCCAGCTCCATCCCTGAGGCAGGGGGCAGCCGGAGCCAGAGCCAGGCTGGTTGTGGCTTCCTGCTGAATCTCCTCCCTGCAGCCCACCACGATTTTCATTGGAGGCTCAGTTTCTTTACTGTTTCTCCCCATCTCCTGTTTCTCACTCCTGGCTCTCTGACCTCTCCATCAGCAGGAGAGGAGACAGGGGCTAGGCAAGCATGATGCAGCTTTTTGTTTCTTTACAGCCTCCTTGCTGCAGCTGCTCAAGAGTCCAACTCAACCCATCTGAGTTTTGATGGAAAGCCCAGCCTGGGAACTGCACTATCCCATTTATGGGTGGAATGGTTTCCCCTTTTTCTCCCAGGTCCTGTCAGCCTTCCTTGCCTCATAAATGGCAAAGCCGATGGTGTGCATGTCCTCCCCCATCTTCCTCTGCCTCCGACGGTGCTTCTGGATCAGCCCAATGAGGAAAGTGCATCCCCCCTCAGGATCATCAGGGTCCTCATCTTCTTCCTCCAGCTTGATTAAATACTGAGGATTCGTCCAGAATGTGTCTGGGAAGTAGATTTAAGCAAACTACTCAGAGGCTTCTTTGATAGCAACCGTGATGATATTTAAACATGTCAGATGTGACAGATGTGGCTCTGACTGCCAAAATCAGCTGTTAGAAGAGAAAACCAATGCACTGCCCTGCCCACCCCCACCCCAGCCTTTACAACCACAACAGACCCTCATCAGGGAGCCACATTTCCCACACTTTTTGGAGTTTAGTCCTAGATATCCCATAAGCCATCCCAAACGATCTCCCGGAAGCTCCCAGAGAAAGCACAAGTGGACAAGTAAAAGGATTCCAGTTGTTCTTACTTGGGTAGTTCCTGCAGCCCCCTGCAGTGGCTCCTCGCCTCCAGTTGCCATCCAGCTTCTGCAGGCTCCACTTTTTGTACCTGTCACTTGCCAGGGTGTCTGGAGTCAGGTTGCAGATCTCCAGGCGGGAGTAATGCCTCAGGAAGTCGTGGAACGCCATCCTGTGGGAGGCAACGCCACTGGCAACCTCTCCTCAGGAGGGTTTTCCATCCCACCACCCCGTCCATCCTCCCTCCCTGTCACTGTGATTCAGCACTAGGGTTTCGGGGTGAATTTGCACACTCCTCTTGGAGAGGTTGCTTTGCATGAATAAAAGCAGAGCAGCTGACATTCCCTTCTGCTGGAATGTGACACTCACCAAAATTCCCCATCCTCGTGTCTTCTGGTCAGTCGCTCCCGCACCTCAGGGTCAACACCACTCCAGTTCGGGCAGCTGGAAGAGAACCCCACATCAACTACAGCCCCTGGGAAAGGTGAAACCCTAATGTGGCTGTTCTGGCACAAGATCTAATTTTTAGCAGTTCCAGAATTCTCAAACCACTGCAGAATTAAAAATAGATGCACCTGGTACATAAAACACCTCACTTCTCAAATATCCAAGGTAAGGATGAGAAACAGAGTGTTATTTTTAGAAAGTGCAATATCTGGACTGAGACAGAAAATGGAAGAGTCAGAATGAAAACTGCCCAGCCACAGAAGTGAGTTAACGCCAGCTTTCATGGCTAACTCCATGCAGAAAGGGATTTTTAAAGCCCTTTTAGAAAGTGAGTTTTCAGAAGCTCACCACTGAATCCAGGCTGTTAAATAAGCAGAAACTACAGGGAGCTTTCTAGGATTCACCAACCAAATCACTGCATCTTACACAAAGGCTGGAATTTGCATGAAAGGCACCACATCCTGTGGTGGCTACCAGGGAGATGACAGTGAGGGGATGCTTCTCTCTGAAACATTTCCATGCGAACACCACATCCAGACAGGACTTACAGAGGGGTTTCAGGTAGGGAACAGACAGAAAAGCACAGAAACACGACTGCACCCCTGCAGTAAAGGACTGCTGGCAACAAGGAAGCCATTGACTCACTTGTCATTCCATTTCCCAGTCCACTCCACTTCTCCCCAGGGATTTCGGATTCTGATCAGCTTCTGCACTGTCCCTCGGAAGTTCACCTGATGGGATCAGAAGTGGATGGAGAGTCACCAGGGACTCAGCACCACACTCCCTCCCTCCCTCATCCTCTACAGTAATTAAAAACATGACAGAGCAAGTATCTCAGTGCTAGGCATGACAACATGCACACATTTGGTCCGAAAGACAAAAGTCCAACTGATTCTGAGTGAGCTTCACACAGCCAGGCTTGTCCAGAGATGCATAAACCAAAGCCCATGGAAACCAAAATGTCTGATTTGTGCTGCTAAAAAAATCACCTTTGATAGGCTTACAAGAAAAGGGAATGTAAAACTGCTATATAAAAGCCAACAAGCAGGTACAGAGATATTTCTCAAAGTCATCGCTTAGGTATAAATTGTCTCTTCACATTCAAATGCCTTTTTGCGCATTCAAATGCCTGTTACAACAGCCAGGACACTCAGACTGGCCACAACCCCTCTGACCACACCAATGCCCCACAGAGCAGCAGCCTCAGCCCCTCCTCTTGTCATCTGCAGGTCGCTGCAGTCCAGAGATGATACCCCAGTTGAACTATCCTTACAGAGTCTGCACAGATCTCCAAAGGAGCAGCCTGGATAAATCATGCCCACTTGTGATCCAAGGTGAACAAACTCCCTCTTCCCTGCTTTTGCTGTGAGAAGACCAAATGCACACCCACAAACTAGCACAGCATGTCAGCAGCTCTCTACACCTCCCCCTGAGCTTTCAAAAAGTATTTCAGAAACAATTACCAGTGAACTAACCAAAAATCCACTGCACACATGGAAGGATGCCATGATCTGCTTCCCTTGTTTTGTCTTGCCTTCACCAGTCACCCACTCTTGGGGAGGCCCCTTGTGCTTGAACACAAGCCCAGCTGAAAGGTGCTGTTCAGCAGCCACTTTGGGGACAATAATACATGGGGGGTTGTTGGTTTTTTCCCCTCAGGACACTTCTTGCTGTGCTTCTAAGATAAAAAGTGTGGCCTGCTGTACAGAAGTGCACTGAAGGGTCTGGTCACCAGCAGAGGACAGCATGCCTTCTGCACAAAGCTGCCCACCCGTGCTCAGTGGGAAATAGCCACACGCATGGAATAAGAGAGGTTTTTTCCTTTGGTCAAACACCCAAGAAGGCAAATCTGTGTTTATCCAAAACATACCAACTAATAAAGCATTCCTTCAGAAAGAAGAGACTCAAACCCCAATTCAGGAAAATGGGTGACACTTAGGAATTTGCAGTGTTGAAGATGGGTTTGTGGCTGCCCCACACAGAAGCTGCTGCACCTTGGGGTGGCACACCTACCTCCTGTGCCCCGGTGACCGAGTACGCGTGTCCCTTCACCAGCTTCTGGGAAGTGACTGCTTCTGTTTCTGCAGCACTGGTGATCTGCAGGGCAAAGGACATCAGTGATTGCAGCTTCCCATGGGCAGGGGATCCAGCAGAACAAAGCTTCCCCCTCCAAGAGAGCTTTCATCTCGCTGGGAGGCTGCAGGAGTGGTTTAGCTGCTGCACAAAAGCAGTAAGTGTGACAGAGCAGGGAGAGGGGACAGCAGCACGTGTGGTGGGGCTGGGACCCCAGGGAGTTTGCCATGTTTGTGGCATGGGGTGCACAGCAGAAGCCTGGCACTGTAGCACAGTCCCCTCCTGGCTCCAAAACACTCAGTGTGGTGCAGCCACTCTTGTGCATCTCCAAAGGGGATGCACACCATAAACTCCATATTCTCAAGGGACCAGGAGAAAAACAGGGAGTGACTGGCCTGATGCTCCCCAGGGATCACACCCAGCAAATTTCAGTGTCAAAACACCCCCTGCAGCTCCATAGCAGGGTGGGAGGTTCCCCTCCCTTTCCCCAACCCTGCTACCCCAGGATCTGCCTTGCAGGGCAGCAAGGGAAGAGGCTGAACTTTGGATGCCATTCGTACCTGAGGGCACATCCCTCTCAATTTTTCAGAGCCACTGCTTGGGCAGCCTGGCCTTTAAACACTGCAGAGAAAAGTCCCTTCTTGCCAGACAGTGAATGTTTAAGCACCTATGAAACATGTGGCTGTCACTGTCTCTCCACCTTTTCAGAAGTGCGTGACCTCTAAACAAGCATATTTGAAGCTTAAACAAACGGAGAGGATTGGATGGAGCAGGCAGGACTCCTGCTGTCAATTCATGGGCTATTACTGCCCAACAGCACACTCTCCATTTAATGCTTAATCTCTGTGCCCGTTTCTCTTACAGAAGAGAAGGAAAGATTTTACGAGCTTTTTATTTTTTTCAAAGGGTAAACTCAGCAACAGTTAATTTACACTACAGAAAGTGGCAGCACTTATCAACAACATAATATATTTACTCTCCCCCCCACCCACCCAAGGGATTTGTATAAGTCTGGGGCAAAAATCCAGATGTCAGATTCTTATCTAAATGCAAACGAGTAAAACAGGCCTTGAAAATACCATGAAGTCAAATTGACATTAACCAAGCACTTTTCCTGCTGTGAAGCTTCCCTCTCCTGGGACTCTGATTTAACTTGAAAAATGGGAGGAAACATTTACATTTATATTATGAATGGAATTTTTGTAAACAATTTACCTTCCCTTTAGACATAACTAAGATGCAATCTCATTTGGGAGGAGGGTGATTACCACAATAACAATACTTAGACTCATTTCAGTAAGGCTCAAAGCAATGCTGAATCCTTGAAGGCAGGGCCAAAACTCCTCTTTTCTTTCCCATGTGGGTCCAGCTTCTGACAACATGTCTTCCCATAAAACCTTTTAAAGGTCTGGCAACAGTCCGAGCCTCTCTGCTTCAAGAACAGAGCCCAGATTTTTTGGGAACGTTTTCAGTACAACTTGTGCAACAAAAAGGCTGCAGCAAGGATGGACATTGTCACCTCTGAGCACCTGACTGCAGGAGCCATTAGCAGCAGCTCTCTCAGCCTGTGCCATCCTGCTGCCAGGTTTTCTCAAGAACACAGCTGTCCATCAGCACCCCTGACAGGTTCCCTGTGTGATTCATCACCCTCAACCTTCTACACAGCAGAAGGTCTCACAGAAGAAGCACAAGGGAGGGAATGAACTTTTTACATGCACTATTGGAGTTTAGTTTCATCCTAACCCCCATGGAGAGCACATGTCTGAGTCACATCTGTGGGTCAAATTCTTCAGGCACAAGGCAGAGCAAGGAACCCCAGGCAGAGGGGACTGCACGCTGTGTGCAGCTCCTGCAGGTGCAGCACAGCTCCAGCCCCAGCCTGTGTGCACAGCAAGAACCCAGAGATAAACCTGCTAACTCACATCAATGGAGCAGCCAAGGAGAGAGCCTTTCTGGAGTGCCTTCTGAATGATCTTGAAGAGGTTGGGGGGTGGCTTCTGCAGCTCATACCATTCTGCAATGCCGCCGGTGAAGTCCTCGAAGCCTTCGGTGGTGGTGCCACCAGAGAGGGACTCATATGAGCCATTCAGCCTGCACAAAACGGGGGACACACACAACCATCAGGCTCCCTGTTCTCTTCTTCTCACACACACAACACCATCAGGCTCCCTGTTCTCCCCTTCCTTCAGGAGAGGCACAAATGTGCCAGCTGTCACAGCATTTCTGCCTTCAGGAGCATTACAGCAGCTACAAATGTGCCCCTCCATTCAGCTTTGCTTCTTAGACCTCTGTACTTGGAAAGCCCAGCATAAAATATCATACAATCATGCATACACCTTGCAGGTTCAGTCTTATCAATGACAGGAATCATGAACACTATCTGAAGAAAAAAGAATATATAAAAAAAATTTAGATCAAAGAATTTGCCTCTCTAGCTCCACACTCCTTAAATCCCTTTAACAGTTACAGGTCTGAACTTCAGCAGATCTAAATTTCTTAAGTCAATTCAAAACAGTAGAGTTAGAGGATAGAATTCCTCTCTGGCCAACCCAAAAATGGAGATTCAGATATAAGCACTGATAGAATTCCTCTCTGGCCAACCCAAAAATGGAGATTCAGATGTGAGCACTGAACACAGACCTGGGCACGTGGACTGATGTGCTTTGCACACCGAAGCACTGGCAGCTGCCAAACCCTCAGAGGTGCATAGAGCACACAAAATGGAGCTTCCCAGGCCCTGGTGACAGAAGGCTGCTCCAGGAACAGCCTTGCCACAAGATGCAAGAGCTGCTTTTCTTGGCTAGCAACAAACCCAATGCTTTTGGCTCCTTCTCTTAGGCATCTGTCAACAAAGCTGTACCAAAGGAGCCATTTGGGGGATACCCCAGAAGAGAGCCATTTTGTGGGATACCCCAGAAGCTGCAAAGGCTGAAGAGCAGACTGACACTCTGAATGCACAGTCACACTCTGAATGCAGCTGGGGAAGCTGTGGGGGATGTCAGGGGGGGAAGCCTGGCCCTGACTCACTTGGCGTAGGCCTTCTCCAGCAGCGCGCTCCAGAACTCGCTGCCCTCCGCCGAGTGCACGAAGAGCAGCTCCCCGTTCTTGGTGGGCAGCCTGTCGTCCACCACCACGTCCACCCAACCTCCTCATCCTGCCTGGGATGGAGCCAACACCCACCAGCCCTGCACACAGGGCTGCCTGGACAGTGTTTTTCCACACCATCTCCTGCCAGGCAGAGGGAGGAAGAGACCCCAGCTCTATAAACATTACACCTCTACTTTCTGGAATTCTGTTTGGAGCCCAGTTTTACTTTACCAGGGCAGCCACCTTTCTGCTCAGCCATGGGCCTCCTGCAGCCTGTTAGCGAGGTGGGCAGAGATTTACAGAGCCCCCAGCGCTGTGAATAACGTGCTCTGACGCCATGATTTCAGAAGGCTGAACAAATGCTTCATTAAGCTATACTATATTACACTAATACTATACTATATTAAAGAGATACTACAGAAAAACCCATGACCCTTTCAGACAGTCACGACACAGCTTTGACCCAGTTGGTCAATCAATCCAAACACCATCACTGGAGTCCAATTAACAAACCACTTTGGGTAAACAATCTCCATAACACATTCCACATGTGCCAAACAACAGGAGCAGCAAATAGAGATAAGAACTGTTTTCTCTTCTCCCTCTGTGCTGCCTTCCCCAGGAAGAATCCTGGGGGAGAGAATTATGTCTCTTTCTGTTCAGAGAATGTGAATACCACAAGATGATGCCCTGACTGCCACAGCCTGACACAAAACTCCTTGTTACCATCCCCAGATCTGCTGTTCCCTTGCTTTGTGAAGAGAGGGCAGTCAGTATTGCACATGAGATCCCACAGGAGAGTCCTGCAGGATTTCAGCTTCAGTGTGTGAACCTGCCACAGCTGCCAGCAAGCAGCAGTCCCTACACAGCCACCTCTCTGCCATGGGAAAAGGCTCAAAAGTTTAAGGGTAAGGAGCTGAGGTCCAAATGGGACAAAGTCTCAGGGTGAATGAAATCTAAAGCTGCCCTTGAGGTCCACCCTCAGGCCCAAATCCATCACTGCTCAGGCAACACCAGCAGGAGCAGCTGCCCTGGCTTTGCACAGCTGACCCCCAGCAGCAGCTCTGAGAAATACACTGTCCCATCTTTTCCTATCTCAGGAGAGGTGGAAGAGGTGAAATTGCAGAATAATTTCAAAACCTAAGGTGCTTATACTGCTTCACAACCTGGAGGGGAAGAAGTGAACATAAAACTTCCCCTTCAGCCCTGCCTCCGGCTGCTTGTACTGCAATGGAAAAATCAGCTTGTCACAGAAGTTTTCAAACAGGAAAGTCACCTTGCTGTTCTCCTGTGACAGACCATGAAGCAGTGATGAAATTCCCCTCCCTACTCTGTCACAGCACATCCACCTGGCCCTGCAGAGTGGGGAGTCCTCTCACAGCCTCCTTCAAGGAGCTGGGAGCCTCCTCCCTGGGAGCTGCATCCAGAGGCAGCACCACCCACTGCAAAGGTGTTTGCTGGGAAAGACAGGGCCAGGAGGAAAGAGTCTGGCTCAGAGAGCAGCTATCACACCATTCTTCCCAAGAAACATTGGTATTTCCATTCCATAGCCAGGGCAGGGGCTGGGCAGGCAGGGAGCAGCACAGAAAGAGCAAATGAAAACTCAAAGGGCCACAGCAGCTCAGGAGGGCTTGCTCTAGAAGCTGATCAGGCCTCCAGATGGTGAACAAACACTTCAGTGCTGTAACACATCTTTGAGTCATGCTTCCCCTGGAGGTAAGAAGCAAGGAAATTCAAGGGGAAACACCCTCCAGAGGACCTCCACACCCACAAGCAGAATTCATAAAGAATTTCCTTGACTTTCTAGCTGTCTCATCAAGGGAGACTGAAATTACAGCCTGTTGTAAAATCTCTGTTGAACTTTATACTGGTTTCTAACAAGAATTTGGAGTCAAACACAAATCTTAATTCTAACAACTCTGGGCAAGGTCTTGAGGTTTAAAGGCAGCTGCAGCATATGTGGAAGACATCCTTTGGTTTCCACACCTAAAAGTGCCCAGCAGCCAGGATATCATCTCCACCTTTGTGAGCAGCCATCACTAAAAGCACACCTGATAATTCAGACTCTGGATGAGAACAAATCTTGTGATTATAGCTGCAGTTTCAGCACTAAGCAAGCTTGAGCAGGGTCTTTACCAAATAGTCTGAACTTCCAGAACTGGTGCTTCTGCAAGGTTCTTGACAGTGATTTTCCTTTGATAGGGAAGGAAAGTCCAAGGAGAGGCTGACAGGTTTCTTAGAGCCTGAAAGGAGTGTTAGCAAGGCTACATTCTTCATAAATAATTTTTGTAAATGAACAGTAGGCAGGACAAGGTTATCAGAAAAGGGAATATTCTCAGACTGTGAGTTTATCTATAACACATATTAACAAGAAGTGCTAATTTTTGTCCTGTCATGCTTACTTTTTCCTGCTTTCAGTGTTTTACTTTTAATTTTCACATAGCCATCTCTGCATTTACCTAATCTCCAGCTCTAAGAAGAACGTTGAGAAAAAAAAAAAAAAAAGTAATTGCAAGGCAAGCATAATAGCCCTAAGGGCTTAAAATTAGCCATTCTGGAAAAAAAAAGCAAACAAAACACACCCATCAAATGCCTGAAGGGCTGTAAGCAAAAGGCAGCTCCTCTGGTCACTGCACAGCTCATGTAAGAGTATGGGGGAAAATGAAAAATGTACATTCTGCCAATCACAGACTCATTATTATTTTAAAACAGCCTTAGATGAACAGCCACTGAATGTATTTATATCAATACCACAGCACTCCAGAATGTTTTCTGGTCACAAACAGGAGGCTGTGGCAACCCCCTGGCAGTGGAGTGGCTGTCAGCATGAGGAAACCAAGGGTCTGATTTTCCAAATTCAACCTACTCAATTTGCTATTTTTTCACACCTTTGTTACGTGAGGAGGAGACACCTGCATCCAAACAGCAGCTGGGAGATCCTGTGCTGTTTACACCCCAGTGTTGTGATACCGTGGTGACACCCACTCCAAAAAAAGGTGGCTGAGGGTGAACCAGGCTGCTCTGGCTTTGGAACCTCCCCTCAGCTGTAATGAGTCACCACATCCCATGCGCTGCCATTTGGAGCCAAATACCACCACTGACTTTGCAGATCTGATACTGCAAGACCAACTCCAAATACTCTCCCTCAAAAGTTTCTCCTAAGGAAAAAACCCCAAAACAACAACAAAACCCAACAACAACACACCAAAACAAAACAAAAAAAAACCCCTCACAAGGCCAGAATAAAGGATAATCCAAATCCCAAGGGGCAGAACTTTGGTGTCTGGAGAACTTTTTCTGCACTGATGATCAGCTATGCCTTACATGGATCACAGTTTCTTATAGTCCAGGTCAAAAGCAATTAAACAAATTTATGCACCTGGCTAAAGACTGCTGAGCTGAAAGAAACCCTGCTCATTAGCTGAGCTCTTTGGTTACACATTCCCTGCCAAGGAGCTGCTGTGCAGATGTGCTGGGTCCGTGTGCTCCGGATGCCCCATCTGTCCCTGCACTCCTCCCAGATGTTCTGAAGGGCTCAGCAACAGCAGTGAAACTCCCCATGGACACAGGTCTGTTGCCTTTTGAGCAAGTCTGTTGGGAGATAAATAAGACTACAAAAGCTTCCTACAGAAAAGAAGCAGCATAATGAAAAGTACAGGTTTCCAAAAGCACCTGATTGCACAGCTTCCAGTGCAATCTTCTCTATAACATCCTAAAATGTGATGGGCCATGAACATTCAAAGTAACTACAAAGCTCAAGTAAATGTACGTTTAAGCAGATTTATCAATACAAATGCTGGTGTCAGATAAGGCACTGAAAAAAAGAAAAAAAAAAAAAAGAAAACCAGAAAGCATTTGTACAGTGCATCTGCCAGCCCCATTGTATGAAAGAGTAGAGATTCCATCCTGGCTCTTAGGAACTCAGTGGCTATACAGAGATAAGATCAAAAGCATCTAACTTTTAATCAACAATTGTCACACAAGACCAAAATCTCAGATTCATGAGAAGACAGCCAGGAAGTCATGGCAGTACTTAGTGACAATGAAAGAGGAGATACAAACAAGAGCACTGACAACCTCTGATTCAGATGCAGTCAGGAGTACAAAAATGCCAGCTGTGAGTCACTGCATATCCTCTGGAGATACCACAGAACCCCATGAGAACATCTGACTGGTCCAAAGACCACTAGGGCAGCAAATGCTTTCACCAATTTAAAAACAGAGTTTGGTATTAGCAACAGCAATTTCACAACTTGAAAGTGAAGCTTCAAATCTTTCATTCCCATGCCCTTGCTGCCACAGCATCTGCAGAGAAAAGCTGGAAAAGCAGAAAGCAACTAAGTGATTCCAGAAATCAGCATCTCTACAGAAATGCCAGATGTTGAAATGGCACTACAGTAAACTTTAACTTCAATTTGAAGAACTTCTTCTCAGAAAGTTTCATAATAAAAAGAGATAACAGATGTCTGGCACGTGTGTTTGAGCACTGGGACATGCTTCATGCCAAAACAGTCATGGTGGGAGACATGGTATTGGGTGGAGAGAGCACAGGAAGGAAGCTGGTGACATGGCAACAGCCCAAGGCACAACAGAGCCTAACCCACAGCACCCATGACATTGGGGCACGAGCAGAACCAAGGTCATAATCTAAGGATTTTTACTGTCATGGATTTTTTTATACAAATTGCATCCGGTTGTCAAAGCACTAACCTAAAAACCATATTTTTCTGAATGAAAACATAAGCACAAAAGATAAGCTTCTCTGCCTGTTACATTTTTGGATATGAACCCACAAAGAGCAGCAGCGGGACTAGAAACTAAGAAGTCGCTACGTGGTGAATATTTGAAAGCAAACAAACAGAATTTTGTTCCTTTGCCAAGTGCAGCAGCACAGCACAGCTCATATTAGTCATGTTTCCTACAGGAGAGCTTTCCCTCAACCACACTGTCTAATCCAAACCCCTCTCACTACAGCTATGGAGTAGGAGCCTACTACTGCTTTCACTTCACTTTATTTCTTCTCCTCACATCCCTGCAGACATCCTCCACCTAAAACCCCTTCTGTCAGGCAAGGCAGGAGAGAGGCTTCCAGAGTGGGACAGCTGTGCACTCACAGCCAGGCTAAGCCATTTGCTCCCCACTGTCCCCTGGCATTTCCCTGCAGCTCCCAGAGCTTCCCTGGAGAGCCCCACCAAGGAGCTGCCATTGCACAAACTGAGCAGAAGCCTTGGCAAAAGCAGAGGGCTCACAGGCTGGCCCATCCCTCCTGAAAGCAGGAGTCTTGGTTTTGTCTTCCTCAAGAGCTGACCACCAGCAGGGAATCCCCCACACAACTTCTTTTCTCTCTACAGCATCTCCCAGGGTTTCAGGAGATTCCTCCTGCCCAGCAGAACTCTCTCCTGCTGGAGAGAGAGAACTCCTGCTATGCACACAGTTGCTCTTCCTAGCAGACTGTTAAAGGCAGAAATGAGTCAGGCTGCTCTCACGCACATGGATGTGCATGAGAACGTGAAAGGAACTGGCCATGACCAGAAAAGCCATCAGGAAACCAGAGTGTGCCACCCTGCTTGGTGCATGCAGAAAGGCTGCGCTCAGTAACCACACACAAAGAGTCCCCAGCTGCAAATGCCAAGGAAAGGTGAGAAAGGGCTGATTTGAAATGAATGGAGGTGGGAGGATGCAAAAGGAGGTATTTACAGCGTGTACAAACCGTGGTGCCCTGGGGCAGCACCTGCATAGAAACCTCAGCTTTGTGCCCCACCTCACTCACCTAAGGCCCCTTGGCAGATGTCCGTGCGGGTGGCTCCTCCCGCGATGAACCGGGGGCTGGAACACAGCTCCTGGAACAAAACCAGCCCCGCATCACACCTAGCCGCAGGTGAGGCAGGGAACGAGGCCACACTTGCAGCAAATTAACCAAACCAGACCACAGGAGGTGAACACCACAGAGACGGAGCAGGGCAGGAAGGGGCACGGGCACCGGGCACAGCAAGCACGGTGAGGTGGGAGCTGCTGAGCAGAGCTCACTGCACAGGACGTGCTGCACTTTCACACACGTGCACACACTGCTCTGCCATTACCTCCCCACCACTGACCACACCAAGGTCTTTCAGAAGTGCCTGGAGACACCCCGGAGTCCCATGGCTCCACCTGACCCCATGGCTCCCATGGCTGCTCCGGGAATAAACCGCACGGCTGTCAACTCACGGCCCTGCTGAAGGAAAGAGTTATGGGGAGAGACAGCCCCAAGCGCTACCCAAAGCGATGTGTCCACACGGAGAGTTCTGCACGGAGAGCAAAACGACTTTTCGGACTTGTTTGTTTTTCCCAGGCAGAGCAAGTCACGCTGCCAGCCTGTCCCGGAGCGAAGGGGAGCCTCCGGTGCCGGAGCATCCGCACGAAACGCGCTCGCACCGCGCCCGGCAGCCGCCCCCGCACGCTTCAATCCACCCAAATTCACCCAGATTACACCCAAATTCAGGGGGTGGGGGAAGGAGGAAGCCGCGGTGATGCTGTGCAATGATGCTACCGGGGATCCCCGCCACACCCGCACGCTTCAATCCACCCAAATTCCACCCAAATTCAGGGGGTGGGGAAGGAGGAAGCCACGGTGATACTGTGCAATGATGCTACCGGGGATCCCCCCTCCCCCGCCACCCCCTTACGCTTCAATCCCCCCAAATTCAGGAGTGGGGGAAGGAGGAAGCCGCGGTGATGCTGTGCAATGATGCTACCGGGGATCCCTACCGTGGGTCTGCGCCAGACGACGCCCTGTGTCTTGTGCGAGCGGGGCCCCAGCTCCCGGTAGCCGAGGGCGCTGGGGCCGGCGGGGAAGGAGGGGTCCTGGAAGAGCCGCCCCTCCTGCAGGCACTCCTGGCGCAGGGTCTCGAAGCGCTGCCCCAGGTAGGGCACAGCGCGGCCGTGCCGCCCCTCGCCCAACGCCGCCGCCCGCTCCTTGGCCAGCGCCTCCGCCATCCCCGCCATCGCCGCCCCGCCCGGCACGGCACGGCCCCGCCTGTCACCCCTCCCTCCCGCCGGGCCCACGCCGCTGCTCAGCCCCGCCGCGCCCCCGGCTCGGCTGGAGCCGCTCCGTGCCCGCAGCGGCGGTGGGGAAAGCTCCGTGCCGGGCCCTGCCGCTCCTGCCCCGGGCGGGAGCGGCTCTGCCTCGCCGGGCGCCTCCGCAGCTCCGCACCGGCGCCAGCCCTGCCTGCCCTGGTTCCACGTGTACGGGTCAGTTCGAAAAGGTTGGTATTTGCCGTGTAAAAACCAGAAGTATCCATATCAATTCTCTGAGTTTAGGGGAAAAAACCCCACAAAAACCCTAAAAAAAACCACAAAAAACAAAGGAAGGGGAAACCCTAATATGGCTCAAATCCCACTGTGGTACGTCTGCACCCGCTGTTGTCACCTTGTTACAACCCTGAACATCGCAAGTGACAGATCGTTCACAGCTCGGTTTGCGGGCGGTCCCGCAGCACACAGCACCCACCTGCGCTCTCCGCGCAGCCCAAACCACAAACGGAGAGTTTCCCCCAAAACACACACGCACAGATGGTGTGGGGGGAGAGAGTGCCTCTGTTTTGGCAGTGAGCTGCTGCCAAGAATGGCTGCAATGCTGCTGCTGGCACCCGTGTAGAACAGCATCTCTCCGAGGGAGAATTCAAACCATTTGTTTCATATTTAAAGTGTGACTCAGGGCGTGCTGAGGCCCGGCAGCGCTCCCTGGGCAGCACACACAGGCTGTGAGCCCTTTGTGCTGCACCCACCGCCCACAGTGGCTGCCCAGCTGCCCTGGAAGGGCAGGCACCTCTTTTTGCATGTTGTTTTCTAAGCCCTGGATGCATGAAACAGTGGTTTGGAGCCATCCTATCTGACTAAAGTGAACATTATTGCTTGAAAAATGCTTAAAGAACCTAAAATTACTGGCAGTACCTTTTGCTGAGGTGTGGTGGGAGGTTTTCCTTCATTGCTGGTACATGGTGCTCCAAATCATTGTATACCACTGTCTGTTTGCTTCCTAGTTTTGCACTTTCATCATTTATTATTCCTCTTCCTAAGCTCAGCACTGGTCCTGCTTGCACAGTTCATGGGAAGCCATTGCCATTAAACAGGAAAAAGAGCTAAGCATTGCCCATTCAGCTCCCAGTGTACCAGAGGAGGCCCCCAAAATCTTTTGGAAGTTAGACATGAATGGTCTGAGCAGCAAGCACCTGTCTGTGTAGATCATGGCCATGCAAGAAAACAGCCCTGCACCACCTGGTTGTCCAAACCTGGCGGGGCACAGTCCAACTTTGCTGTGCTTTGAAGATGCCTCCTGTCCCCTACGGGTCAGAAAGGCTCTCCTCATGAAGGGAATAATGGAATTTTTAGCAGCACAAGGGAAATCAATTACACGTGGAGAGCTGGAAGCAGATCCAGTGATGTCACATGCACTCAGCTGAGGGTGTGCTTTCAGCCAAGGTCTCCAGCATGGCTGTGCTGAGGCTCGAGCAGGACACAGAGTGGCAGTGGAGGATGGTTTTGCTCAGCTGTTTAGGTTTGTTAAGCTCTGCTGAGTTATCCTACATGCAAGGCCATCTCCTGGACCAGGAGACAACAGCACCTCAGCACCTGGGAGTTTAACTGGCAGTGGGCTGTGCTGCATCCTGACTGAGGGATCTGGGAGCCGTAGAGCTGCTCCAAAAGTGTTTCTTTGGCTCCACGCAGTGGCTCGAATCTGTACAGCTGCCACAGGTCAGAATTCTCTGCTTTTACAAGAGCCAGGGCTAAAGGAAACCAGAGTCCGTTCAAAGCAATGGTTTTCACTCAGTTTTGGTTGGTGAACTCTTCTGCTCTAGCTGTTTCCCAGCAGATGCAGAAGTTTGAGCTGGGTTGAAAATTTGTCACATAATTATTTTGCTTTTTTTAGCTGTCTCTTATTGCCCCATAGATGATCCTCAAAGACCACTTTGGAATCACAACATATGAGAAGACAAGCTCTCAGAATGAAACTGATCTGTTTTCATGCTGCAGGGTCTACAGTACAGCGAAGCAGATTTAATTCTCATCAGCCAAGTGATGCAGTACAGGAGAGTCCCCTCATTTCTCTCTAATGCATTGTATCAGAAAGGTATCTGAAACTGCTGGTAATTGGCAGTTATTTTCTTCTAAAGATTTCCCCATATACAGTGCATGGAATTTTCAGTCTCTTCTTTGAAATTCAGGTGAAGCATTTTTCTGGTTTAATTGGTTCTTCTTTGTTCCCCCTCTATCCTCTTGCTGTCATCAAGAAAGGGGGAGAGGGAAAGGAAAGCAGGAAGAGCCAGGCAAAAATATGCAAATCCCAGAGGCAACAAAAGTCAGAATAATTGTTGTAACTATTAAACCTAGGGGTTAATGCCACTTCAGCAGCAGCATTTGAGTCATGGGCAACCTTAAAACTTTTTTCCTCCTATAGTATAGCTGTCAGCTGTTGCTGTAGTCAACTACAGTCATCATCATCTCCTTTATATCCTCTAGATGGTGCTTGTGTATCACATTCAACACAAAATAAATCATGCTGCTGCTAATCAAGCTTGGAAAATGGATTTGAAGTGCTGTGACAAATCACTAGAATCAAATAGTTGTGGTGGGCACACTGGGTGGCCACCTGGTCCAAGCCTCCCCCAGAGAAAAGGCTTGTCCTCAGCCTCTTTCCAAACATGAAAACTGGAATTCATTATTAAAATCTGATTGTATTATAGAATGGTTTGTATTGGAAGGGACCCTAAATATCATCTTGTTCCAACCCCCCTCCCATGGGCAGGGGCACCTTTCACTAGAACAGGGTGCCCAAAGGCTCATCCAGCCTGGCCTTGAACACCTCAGGGATGAGACATCCACGTGGCATGGAATGACTCCAAAAAAACCTACACAGAAAAAAAAATAGAAGGGATTTTTAGATAAAATAATCACATGAATTATACTTTTCCTCATGCAGGGGAAAAAAGATTTTGTGTTTAAGCCTGATATTGTCAGAGCACTGATCCATTTTGGCAGGGCACTTCACAAAGGTCTGTCTGCAGGATGAATACAGAATGTTAGCATTCCTAGAAGAGCCTCCATGCTTTGTTGCCAGGAAACAATAATGAAAGTGTAGGGATGCCAGTTTGATGACAGGGATACAGGGCAGTGGCATTAATCCCATGTTTTGCAGACATGAGATCTCTGTCATTTGCAAACATGGATGCTGGCACAGCCTGTCATTTTCTTCTGAGTATTGTTTGGCTAATGGATTTATAGAAATGTAGAATACTAGAAGAGCTCAAACCAGCTACAGCATCATCTTAGATCTCTGAAAGCCCTCCTCTACCCTGCAGGATATGGCTTTATGGTATGTTGTGCTCATGCGTGAAATATTTGTGCTTTTTGTTTTCTAGGTAAGAAAAGTACAGCTAAGGTGACTTGCATCTGCAAGAATCAGGATCCATTGAGGGTTGTCATTAATTATTAAGCCAAAGGATGCTCATATTTTCACTGCAAGAGGCAAAGAAATTAAGATGAGGCTTTTCTAGATAATCTTGCCTGTGAGCAGAATTAAGACACACCTTTGATAAGTCCCAAGGGTGGGGATGCAGTGGTCAGGATTTTATGTGTATCACATAAAATTGAGGGCTTTTATTTTTTTTTTTTCTTGTGTGCAGATTCTTCAGGGGCAAAGACACAAGTTTGATATTTATGCATTCATAAAAGAATAGAATTTTTAATGGTTTGTTCCATACAGGGTACTTCATGCTGTCCTGCTGACTTTCAAGGGATTAATCTCTAGTAAGGGTAATGGAACCTTGAAAAATCTTCTGATTCTTCTTCCTTGATTTTTAGCACTCCTTCGGAATAATTTGTTCAAATGTGTACATTAGGAATACAGTGAATTATAGCAAAGACTTCAGAGAAATCAAGGTTTGTTTGGTTTTTTTTAAAGCAACGGCTAATTTTCACTTTGACTCATCACTTATTTCCTTCTGAGAACATGGAGTCAGATTCATCATTCCTCCCTGCCATGGGAATCCCTGTTAATACAGCACTTGCCCACTCCCATCCCCTTTGGTGGGGGAAGGAATGCCAGAGGGACAGGGCTGCTCAGCAGCAGCCAAAACACTGCTCTGTGATCAATGCCCTGCCAGCTACCAGGGCAAGGCACATCACTGTGAGGGCTGTGAACTTCACCTTGGTCACCCAATACACCTTTGCAGCTGGTGGGACATGAAAATGAGGAGATTAAAGAGGCAACTCTCATTCCTTGGAGGAGCTCTTCTGCAAGAAGAAAACAAAAAGAGAGATGTCATGGGAATGGCTGCTTCTCTCCAAGGCAAGTGCCACCTGCACTGCCTTCGTGAAGATGCCTTTCCTTGGTGGATGAATGCTGACTTCACAGTGGCTTGGTGGTGGGTGGGCACTTGGAAAATGTCTGTGATGGAGTTACTAAGCAAAGTACCCTTAAAGGAATGTCTTTTGGGACTCTCTTGGTTGACAGGTGGTTTAGGGATACATTCTAAACATACTGGCTGAAAACTGTGATCTGTACTTAGCCTGCAAGACATTTGCTGCCCAGGGCTGCTGCTTCTTTGTTTTCAGCATGTAGAAACACACAGATTAATGCTGCTTTTCCATGTGGGATTAGCAACATGTCTTCTGACTAAACACTGCTATGAGGTGTTTCATTTCAGCCTTTGAATGGGAAAAGTACCTTAAAATTGCACCTATTTAAATTTCAGGGCTTCACTGATTTACTAGGCTGGATTTCATCCTTGAGCAGGCTGGGTTTTGTTTGGAGTCAGAGCTTGTTTCTCCATGACATGCCATGTGGGCAGGTACACGAGATAAAATGCAAGCATAACATTCCATTGTTAGCTTTTTGCTCCTTTTGAAGCAGCAGAAGGATTAGATGAGGGATGCTGGGAGCTGTTCTCTGGTTTTCCAAAACGACACACACCGAGTTCTGGCTGTGCTCTTTCCCTGAAGTCTGTGTGACCCAGGTGCTGGCTGT